TTAATGAGAAGTGGGCTGTGCAGGTATATGTGGGGGATTTAATGCGATGTAGGATGTGTAGGTATATTTTTAAAAGAGGTTAAGAGAGATGTGTATATTGCGGTGGAGTAAATTGACCGCCCAACCATCCGGGTGGTGTCGCACTTATAAAGCGAAAGAACAAAATGCTTGGCTGAGAGCCAATGAGAAAGCACTGAAGTCATGGCCAAACTGGACAAACGAGTTTCTGACACAGGCTGGTTTTGATTATTCAAAATGGCGGACATACCTTACATTAAATTTACAATATGCTTATTTGCCAAACATTCTTTATACGCACGCTTATGTTTTGTAACGGCTTTGTAATTTATGCTATACATACAGTTATACATTAAAATACGCGTTCACCTTGTGTATCTCAAGTTACAGTAGCCAGATTAAGCCTTGATTGATGACGTTCGTTTAAGGTTCTCTCTGCCATCAAATATTACATGTTGCAGCGAAAAAGGTAGTTCAAATTCGTCGACAACGTAACCGTCTACGAATGCCTACGAGCGAAAACAACTTCCGGTGCTTCGCCGCCTAAAACATCACAATTTTCAATGTTATTCCACCTGATATCATTGTTTCCGCAACATTTAGATTCGAGGTCAATTAAGTAGCGAGATCCCCGAGTACTGGAAGCTATGGAAAGAGAAATACTGAAATAATTACTTGGTTTGGAGCGGGAAAACCCCGAGTATCAACTCGCTATGTTCAAGGACGTTATTGGTGACGATGGCCTTTAAGTGTTCAAAGCCACTTAAGCTATACTGAGGAAGAAGATGCAAACGATTGCCGTGTAGTAATGGGGAAGATGAAATCGGCGAAGTAACGTAAACGAGATTGTTTCAGTAGGAGGGAAAAACTTCCTACCGAAACGCTCGACAACTTCATCGCTGAATTAAAGAGCTGCAATTTACCAGTATGTGAATTTTTACGGTTTTTACACGATACTGTCACCCGCGGTCGACTGGTCTTGGGATAAAACATGAGCAAAGAACAAAGCAGCCACTTAGGATGACACACCTCGGTCGTTAAACAAGTGTATCGACCTTCCAGCATCCGAGATGCAAATATAGGGATCTTAACAATGACGACGGCCACGCCGAGGACAAAGCCTTGTAAAATTGAATTTGTCCAGGATGCATATGGCTCTAAAACCTCGCTCAGGCTAAAAATGTAATGACAGCG